AGAAGTGAGCCGCGGTGAAACCCGCCAGCCGGAAAAGCCAGCCAACTTGCAAAAAAGGAACCGCAAAGAAACCGTAAAACGAACCTCAGCCAGGCGTGCATTCTTTGCCACTGAATGAACGAACGCAGCGTGACATCACAACCATTCTGATCTTCCACGATGAACTCCTCTGGAAGCTTCAACCTGAATGAATGAACCTGAATGAACCGGAATGATCCTAAATGAATAGAAAAATCTTACTTCTTTAATTAATTCAAATGAAAATGAAGAAACACAAAGAAGCCGACCGGTCGGCAAAGAAAAGAATCTCAAAGAAAGGTATCTATATAGGATTTATGCTCTATATAACTCTATATAACTATGCATACTACCACATTCAATCAATAAAAATCCCACTAAAACCAGGAACCACCGCGTACCTGTTATATGTATGGTGTGAAACAAAACAAACACAAAACAAAAAACACACCACCAAGTAGTAAAAAAGAATAGAAGTCCCTAACCTACCTATGTAACTAAATTACCTTATGCCCTAGCCTACCTATATAATAAATTAATTTTTAATCTCACCTACCTATGTTTCATTAACTTAAGACTAATGAAGAAAGAGAAAAAGGAGTAAAAAAACATAAAATACTACCACACAAACAAACATGATGTATGTATGTATGTATGTGCAACCGCTAAAGAACCCACCTTAAATATAAAAAAAATACAACATATAAACACACAAACCACAGACATGCAAACTCTATATAACTCTATATAATAAAATAAATAATAATAATAAAAGTATAAAAATATAATAAATAAGATCAGACAGACTGCTTCAAGCGAGGCAGAATGCTGATCTGATTTTCATGTTGTCTCAGCTCCTATTTATACTTGTTTCAACCATACATTTTCATCATTTCATTCATTCACACCAATAAAAAACTTATTTAATGTATGTACTACACTATTATACAGTCTTAATCACAATGCTAACCGTACTAAATTGACGTCACCGAACGAACGCCTTCGAAACTTTCTGATTAGCTGGTTGAATCTGCTATATTGCTTTTTATATAAACATATATCTTATTAACTATTTGTATACATAGTTTCTAGTTACTTTATATATATATATCTATATATATATATATATATATATATATATTAAGTAACTAGAAACCATGTATATATATATATATATATAATATAAATTAATTATAAAAACAGCAGTAATCAGTGGTACATATATACGCCACAGTTCAAATTTTTCGGATGAACTCAAAATAGTATGTGACCACACCTTGCTTAACATCCAATTTCAAGCCAAGCTGAGCCAATATGCGTAGATTTATAAGCGCTTTTATATTAAAATTTTGCTCGCTTTATATACGAATATCCCGATATAACAAATTTTCCATCCTATTTTAAAAATTTTCATTGATGCTTTTTAATCAGTCAGGTCACAATCATCATCATCGATATCGCAATGAAATCAAAATGAAAATTTTTAAAAATTGTTGATAAAAGTAACAGTGTATATATATATATATATATAGGGGCCGTTCGAATATTACGTAACGCTCCGGGGGGGGGGGGGGGGAA